CACGGTTCAAGCTACGACCTTCGCCCATGGGTAGAGCCCTGGGACAGATGCTGGTACAAAGGAGAAAACGTTCCAGTGGATTGAGCCAGTGGAAAGCAAAATTAGTTACAGCTGCCACAGCAGACAGTTCTCCAGTGCGCCTGGTCCAGGAGGGACCCCAGTAACGACCGGGTGCAACCGTGTGGGCCACCCATCACGCACAGCGGACTCACCCTGCCCCTCACTGAGCTCCCGCAGGCCAGGCTGGCTTCTCCCCAGTAGGACTGGCCGTGGCTCAGGGCCAGGGCCCACGTCCTGCCCCTGCCTCCCTCACTGCGGGCCTTCGCCGTCCCATCCCCTCACCTCCAAAATGAGCAGCAATACGTCCCTAGGGACCCACTCAGCATATGAATTGGATTCTGTACAGTTAAAAAGAAACACTGTCCCTTCCCCCAGAGGTAGAGAAGAGGTAGAGGGGAGGGGACTTCTGTGGGAGGGACATTTGTTCAAAACGCCAAGTGATGTGGTCCTGCAGGAGGTGAGGCAGCGTTGGTCGCACCCTCAGGCGGGGCTGTGCCCCCGGACCTGCAGCGGATGCCCTGCTCCCGTTCCTGGCAGGCTGCTGCCTGCGCCTTCCACGCTTCGCACTTGTCTCAGCAGACCTAGGAGGAGCCTGGACCATGACCTTGGAGTTCATTAGATGGGCGTTAACAGTCCCTTTGCCACTTACTAGCTCTGTGGCTTTGGATAAGTCAAGTTAGCTTTCTGAGCCTCCGTTTCTTTCTGTATAATGTGGGTGGTTCCTACCACAAAGGTTTAGGGGGAGTATTTTTTCAAGTGAACGTAAAGCCCCCAGCCCAGTGCCAGGGCGTGGTTAGGACCCAGCATTGCTGGCTCACATCTTTGTTGTGAGCCTGGGACAGGTCCCATGTCACCTCCCCAACAAAGCCCAGCAGAGGGTGCCCCAGGTATTCTTGTTATGCCCAGAGCTCAATGACCCTGAGACCTACTTCTTGCCACCCTCTCCCCTTGAGCTCTCAAAAGCAGGCTGTGGCCAAGAACACAGGCTCAGGAGCCAGCCACCAGGCTGCCATCCTGGCTCTGCCACTTGCAGAGCTTTTTTCTTATCTGCAAAGTGGGGAGCAATAGAAACACCTACCCCCGTCTCCACTTCCTCAGGGACTGCACCCAAACCAGGCCAGGCCTGAAGACTTGTTGTGTGTTTTAGATTTCACTTGGAGGTGTGAGGCTTTTTTTTATCTTTTATTTTTTTTTAGACAGAGTCTTGCTCTGTCACCCCGGCTAGAGTGCCATGGCGTCAGCCTAGCTCACAGCAACCTCAAACTCCTGGGCTCAAGCGATCCTCCTGCCTCAGCCTCACAAGTAGCTGGGACTACAGGCATGCGCCACCACACCCAGCTAATTTTTCTCTTTTTAGTAAGACATAAGACAGGGTCTTGCTCTTTCTCAGGCTGGTCTGGAACTCCTGACCTCAAGTGATCCTCCCACCTCAGCCTCCCAGAGTGCTAGGATTACAGGCCTGAGCCACCATGCCCAGCCTGAGACTTTTTTAAAAGCTAAGAAAATCTCTATTAACTGAAATGCTTAGGCCAATGGACTGTTTTACTTTATTAGCTTTCTAGTTATTAACTCACCAAGAACTCTGAACAGGGCTTTGCACATATAGTGAGCTTTCAGTAAAGTTAGTGTGGTGGAAGGTAAACTAGAAAGTCCCTTTATCACCTGCCACCCTTCTTGTGAAGAGGTTTCTGAAAGGCCATGGTCCCTTTCTGCCTGAGTAAAGAGGGTGTGGTTTTCTTACCCTTTGAGGGTTTGTAGTACTAGGTAGTCACCACACAAACTAATCCCACAGAACGGAGCTACGGCCAGTTCGGGAATTGGGAGGACCCTGGACTATACCTGGGACACGCTCTGGCAACTGTTTGCTTTTACTTTCTGTCATACTTTGTTTTGTTTCCATTCACCTCTCTTTGCTCGAAGCCGCATACAGTCCCCGCTCCTAGTCACCAGCGTCTGGCTAACGGAGGGCCTGTCTCCAGCTGCCTCTGGTTTTCCTGGCTATCAGCCTTCAGCTTGGCATTCGTGTTACCCTGAAAACGGGGAAGGTTTATGAGTAAATGCTGGGGTTCCAGTAGGAGTTCCAGAAATGACTGGGGTGCTGCTCTCGGACGTTCACTCCCACTTGAACGTTCGAGGTTGGTTCAGATCAGTCCTCTCACTCAGGTGTCCTCATCAGGTAGAATGCCTGGCAGGTGGCTGCCTCCCCTGCCTCCCCCATGAGCAGACACTACATTTGTGCCAGGGTGACTGCAGAACCTGTGTGGTGACCTGTGCGTTTGGGGTTGACTCAGGAGCTGGCCTCAGACCTGGAGTGGTGCCCTGGCCTCCCTCAATCCCAGCGAGGGGTGTGCCGGCAGCCTGGCTTTGGGGCTCTGTGGAGCTTAAGGCTGGCAGTGTCCTCTGTTGGACAGTTCATGTCACTGAGCACAGGCTCTGGGGAGGCCCCCGCGGCCAGCAGTCACTGCAGCTCTGCTACAGAGGGGGGGCCACCAGGTAACGGTTTGCATGGGCTGGCCCGAGTCCCTTAACTTCTCCACGTGTAAAGTAATGCCCACCTCAATAGAAGAGGCCCAGAAAGCGGCCCGGACACACATAGGAATTTCAGACACCTCAGAGGTGATTCCAGATTGGTGGGGAAAAGGCAGCTCACTCAAGAAATGGACAGCTCGCTCCCTGGGAAAAAACAGGCTGGATCCTGACGCTTAGACTTTACTTCAAAATCAATTCCAGGTGGATTGAAGATTTAATTGTGAAAAGGGAAACTAAAATTACAGGGAAAAATGTAGAAGAATTTTAAAAATAATCTTGGAGAGGGAAGATCTCTCCAAGCCTGACAAAACTGAGAAGCTCTATAAGAAAAATTGGGCACGTTCAGGGATAAAAATTAAATTGCTGCATGAACAAAGGTAACGTAAAAAGTCAAAAGATAAAGGACAAACTGGAAAAACAAATGTCCGATTCATGTTACAGACAAAAGGTTAGTTTTCTTACTATGGAAAGAATTCCTACACATCCACGCGGAAAAGACCGACAACTGCACAGAAAAGCACGCGAGGAACGTGAGCAGGTCGTTCCTGCCAAAGGCGCCAGGCTGCCCCGCCTGCGGCAGGGACACGCGCGCAGCCTCGGGCCCAATCCGGCTCCTCAAGCACTTTAGTGTGTGACCTCGGCAAGTGACCGACGCTCTCTGGGCCTCAGGTTCCTCAACTGCTTGGTGGGGACGACGGCAGTCCCCATTGCCAAATGGCACAGCGTGTGTCCAGCGTAGGGTGGGCGGTGCCGCGTAGATGCTCGATGACGGAGCGTAAAGACGCCCAGCTTCACCTCTGGGCGACACGACCTTGCTCTGATGAGAAACACGCAGCCTGCGGCTAGGGTCACAGGCGGCTCACGCCGAGCAACGCAGCGAGACCCATCTCTACAAAAAATGGAAAAATCGGCCAGCTGTGGTGGCACACGCGTGTAGCCTGCTCGGGAGGCTGAGACGGGAGGATCGCTTGAGGCCACGGTGAGCTGTGATGATGCCGCTGCGCTCTACCCGGGGCAACAGTGAGACTCTGTCTCAAAAAAAAAAGACAAAAAACGTGCAGGTTGAAACTGCAGCCGTAGACCGTTTCTCCACAGCGTTGGGACAGTGTGGGGATCTGGCACTGGCATCACTGAGGGGCGTAGAAATACCTGCCAGAACTTTAAATACCTGCACCCTTTGAGGAAGCGGCCTAGAAATGACGCGCACTCAGGGCCAGCGTGTTCCTGCAGCACCGTTTGCAATAGCAGAAGCTGGAGCCCAATGTTGAGAACTGGTTAAATAAATTATAATATATCCCTAACCTAGATGATTCTGCAGCTTATCAAAAAGGCAGGCCTGCATGTACCAGCGTGGCACAACCTCCCGTATCACTGAACGATGAGAACAAGGCGTCCGGCAGTGTGCACAGGAGTCACGTTGTGTGCGATGGACGTGCAGGCGTCTGTGGGCCCAGCTGGACTCGGGGGCGTCCAGGAAGTGGCAGCAGTGGCCTCTGGGAGGGGCTCTGTTGGCTGAAGGACGGGACAAAACCTGTGGATTTTGTATCGTACACCATACTGTGTGTTTCTAAGTTTAATCTGAAAATACCTGTGTCATTGGCAGCTTAATTCCTTTTTTTAAAAAAAGAAAAAAATGAAAATACCTGTCTCATGACTATGCGAGTAGTGAGAGGCCCCTCACAGGTGCTAGGAAGGGGAGTGAGGAGCAGGCTGCCTGGGTTCGTATTCTTCGCTCCACCCTAGATCTGTGACCTCAGGAAATTTCTGACCGTAGCGTGCCTCAGTTTCCTCATCTGCAAAACAAGAATTAAAAGAGACGCAGCACACAGGGTTGCGAGCGTGAAGCGAGAGCGTCCGTGTGAGAGCTCTGGCGCGCAGCGAGCCAGCACTCGGCAGACGCCAGCCAGCCTCCTCCATCATCCCCGTCAAGCACGTCCCCCTCGGCTGCTCTGGCAGGGCCAGTACAGGGTGGCGAGGACCGCCATTGGGCTCAGCTTCTCCCACCTTCTCCCCAGGCCAGGGAAGCCATTGTCCAACAGACCCTCCCCTCGAGGCTCCCTTCCTCCTCGGGGAGAGGCTGGCTCTGTCGCTGGCTTCCCACCCGCGGTGGCGGTTGCAGCCTTGGAATGGGAAAGCCGCGTCCGTGAGGAGCCTCACGAGTGACCCACCAGCCAGTTCTCCGTCTTGGGCGGTCATGGAACCTGCTCCCCAGAAAGACGCACGCACGCTCAGCAGGCCGGAGCTGTGGCCGAGCCTGGCCACGCAGTGCCCCGGCTCCCTGGGAGCCACCCGGGCGGGATTGGGCAGTCTGGGCAGCTTTGTCCCCGCACCCGCTTGGTGCTGTGGCGAAGGGGAAGAACCTGGTGTGGGGCCCGGAAAGGCCGACCTGATGTCCTCCCTTCTGCTCTCAGGGGTCTAACGTGATGGAAGAGCAGGACCTGCGGGAGATCGGCATCAGCGACCCACAGCACCGGCGGAAGCTGCTGCAGGCCGCACGCTCCCTGCCCAAGGTGACCACCGGCAGCCTCGGCCTGTGCCAGAGCCAGGGCCCTTCCCCAGCACCGCCGGGACTGAGAACGGGCAAGGAGCTTGGCTCTGGCACGTGCTCATCGTGGCAGGGGGTCTGCCCCTCATCCCAGGAGTCCCAGCAGGGCCAGCGCTCACCCCTGTTTGCTTCTTAGCTAACTCCTGACTTCCTCCTCTGGAGGGTCAGCAGGGCACTTGGGCCAGTGAGCAGCTTGTCGGGGCTCACAGGGGCGGTTCCAGGGGTCCGCCTGGCTCAGGAGCCTGGTGCTCACGGTAGGGAGCGGGGGATCTCTCCTCACTCACTCAAGCCTGGGCCAGCCCATGCTGCCCTCTGGCACCAGGCCCTCCAGGCGGGACAGCAGTCTTCCCTGGGGACCCAGGAGCTGGTAGGCCTGAGCCTCACCCTGTCGACTGTGCTAGTGCTGAGTCCAGTGTCCCTGTGTCCCTTCACTCGCCCAGAGCTTCGGAAGCACCTGGGCTCACAGGCACACACCATTTTCTTGTCCCTGCAGGCCCATGACCTGGTCAGAGCACAGGGCGGAGGCATTCCGCAGACCCTGCTCCCCACCTGGCCTTACCTGCGAGGGCCATGGTCCCCAGACCAGGGCTGCTCCGGCAGCTCCCACCGCCCAGACAGGGCTGAGCCAGAGCACTGACAGAGGCGGGGTGTGAAGGGAGGGACTGGAAGGTGCTAAGGACCCCAGGCCTGCAGGGCCCCTGGGGTCCTCGTCCTGCGGGTGCCGAGATATCAGTCCACCTCCCTCCTTGCCCCACAGGTGAAGGCTCTCGGCTATGACGGGAACAGCCCCGCTTCGGTGCCCTCCTGGCTGGACTCGCTGGGGCTGCAGGACTACGTCCATTCCTTCCTGTCCAGCGGCTACAGCTCCATCGACACTGTGAAGAACCTCTGGGAGCTGGAGCTCGTCAACGTGAGTCCAGCCTCTGCTCAGGCCCGGCCCGGCCCCTCCTGAGGTCGGAGCTTCCCTCAGTCACAGCTGCCCATCGGGGAGGCCGTGGGCCCAGCCGGCACCTGACTTCCCCCCTCCTGTCCCCTCTTCCCCATCCCCGCGCAGGTCCTCAAGGTGCACCTGCTGGGCCATCGCAAGCGCATCATCGCCTCCCTGGCAGACAGGCCATACGAGGAGCCGCCCCAGAAGCCCCCGAGGTTTTCCCAGCTGAGAGTGAGTTGGGGGGTGCGAAATGTTCTTTGTATTTGTGGGGATTAAATAGAATTCGTGAGGAGTCTTCAGAGACAGCGTGAGCTCTGTGGTATAGGGGGAAACAACCCCTCCCTTCTCTTGTTGTCGGGGCCAAGTCTACCCCAGGCCCAGGTCAGGACAGCGGCACAGGAGAGTTTTGTTGGCCGGTTACCTGTAAATGACATGCCCCCATTTACATTGAAAGAAGCTTGAGATGGATGCAGCTTAGGTAGAAAATAAAATGCGAGGAAAGTAGAAAACATACACGGATCCCAGGCTTAGTGCGGGCTGTGTCTGGGTGTTAAACTCAGCTCTGCACCGGGGGCAGAGCTCGTCGGCGGGAGGGCCGGTAGTTTGAGGAGTCCCCCCTTCAGGCAACCCTTGGAACACATGGCGAGGACTCGCTGCCTCTCAGCCCCACCCCAAGTCTTGTGAATCAGAGTTCCTGAGGTGGGGCAGCTAAGAGAGCCTGCATTTTCAAAACCTCACAGGTGCTGTGTTGCGCAAGCTAGGTCATCCCTGCCTGCAAAAACGGGTGAGAGCTCTCAGTTCAGGCAGAGCTGTCCCCTCTACCTGGGATGGCAGCAAGAGCTGCCGCTCCCGCAAGCCCTGGCGTGCACCGGGCTCCTGCCCGCCTCGTCCCATTGAGTTCCCCAGCAGCCGCAGAAAGTGCGCACTGTTTGTCCTTTCCAGAGGGGAGCTGAGGCCCAGCCTTGTTCTGGGAACACACAGCTCACATTCAAGTGTGAAAACTGAGGGGCCTGATCAGTGTTCCCTGTGAGACAGTGGCCTCAGGGTGCCAACTGGCAGGACTAAGCTCTTTCTCAAGAAAACATTTGGATTTGGCCATGCGCAGAGGCCTGCGACAGATTGTGACAGATGATTTTATCTTTGATAAATATAAAAGTGGCTCCCCTGCCCCATAACCATTCCTTTCTCCCTGTGGCTCTAGGCCGGGGCGGAGGGCACTAGTGGAGGGGACGGATACAGGGGACAGCTCCCCCGCAGGATGGGTTCTCAGGGCTCCCTGGGCTCCAGGAGGGGTCTGGCTGCTTCCACTGTCACCAGGCCGGGCCGGCGCCTGCATTCCCACTGGCCTGATGCCTTCGTACTCCCTGCTGCTTCCTGGGACCCGCTGACACCTACAGCCGAGGGACTGGGCTGATGGGTTGCGGGTTCTACCTGGATTTCTCCCCCTACAGTGCCAAGACTTGCTCTCGCAGACATCATCCCCCCTGAGCCAGAACGATTCCTGCACAGGGCGGTCAGCAGACCTGCTGCTGCCTCCTGGGGAGACCGGCAGGAGGCGCCATGACAGCTTTCACGACCCTGCGGTACCCTCTCGAGCAGAGCGCTTCAGGATCCAGGTGGGCAGGAGGGACAGCGGCTGGGGTCCACCTCATTCCTCTGGGCAGGACAGGGCCTCCCAGAGCCATCTGCTGCCCCTGCGCCTGAGTACAGTCGGGCTGGCATGGGGTCGGGAGGCAGATACCAGCCCCCTCTTCTGGTCCCCACCTGTTCCCCAGGCCTCCTGGAGCCTGGATGCACAGCTCACTTCAGCCGTGGGCTTCAGGGTTGTGGGTGGCCTGGACCGCCCTCCCTCAGAAGTTCACAGCCACCGTCTCCTCTCCGACTGGCCTCCCCGCCCAGGCCCGCAGGTCCCTGCTGGTCCCACAGCCCTCGGTTCCCTCCCGCCTCCTTCCCCGGGTGGTTCCCGCCACGTAGACCCGCAGCCTTCTGCCTACCCAGCTGAACTGCAGCCCAGATCAGACCCGTTCATCCTGTTCCGTGTCTGCAGCCCGGGTGGGCGCAGCTGAGCCCCCCGTGCTCCATGGCACCACCTGCAGCCCCTGCCCAGGGCTGGCTCCATCTCGCTTTCCTAGCTCGCCTTCGCAGGGTGTCAGGGACCCCGGATTTACTCAAGACCTGGCTGTCCTGCCTCTAGCCTTGCACAGACCCTGGCCTTGTCCCTTGTCCCCATCTTGGCCTGTCAGACACGGGGTTGGCAGGTGTCCCTCATGCCCCTCAGGGTGAACTTCAGCTTCACTTCTGCTTGTTTCTGTAACTCACACTTCTCACTTCTAGCCTCTGGGGACTTCCTTTACCTTTCCACAAGCACAGCCATGAATTTGAAAAGTTTTTAAAACACATTGTCCAGTAGTTCTGGTTGCTCTGTATTGAGAGGCTCTTTACACGTTGCTGGGAACGGAAGTCCTCAGTGTTTCCCGAATCTTTCCTTCCTCTGCGTTCCTTCTACCAGCCATGAGTAAGGACCCCCAGCACCTCGCCTGGACGGCAGCACCCCCGGCTCCTGCCAGAGGAACCATTTAATAACGCACCCCTAGCCCGGCGCGTCCCTGACTCTCCCACTGTGCGGACTCTCCGAGGCCCTTGAGCGGATGGGCTGCGGGGCCTGGCTCCTGCTGCTGTGTCCTTCTGGTCCCTCCCCGCCTCCTCTGCGCCTCACCGCAGCCCCCACAGAGCCTCCCTGACTGAGCCTGCTCCTGGGTGGGGTCCTGCTTCTCTGCTCCTTCTCTGGTGTCGCAGCGCCTTCCCTCCACTGCAGCGTGTTCGAACTGCGTGTCTGCCCCTGCCCTCCCCACCCGACCATTGAACTCGTTGAGGTCGCTGGCTTCTTCACACTTGGGTGCTAGAACCAGAACGTGAGCCCGTGAGCTCCTCTGGCGCTAGCACACGGTGACCGACTGCGTGTGTTCTGCAGGAAGAGCACCACGAGGCCAAGCTGACCCTTCGGCCCCCCAGCCTGGCTGCACCCTATGCCCCCGTGCAGAGTTGGCAACACCAGCCAGAGAAACTCATCTTTGAGTCCTGCGGTTATGAGGCCAATGTGAGTTGCTCCTGCCCTCCCGGCACAGCCAGCCTCCCTGCTGCCTGCCCTTCCCGCTGGGCCCCTGCAGCCCGGAATCCCAGCAGACTCTCGGACCCTCTGCGATCCCAGGCCCAGGGCTCAGACGCTGTTCTCTACTCTTCAGCCATTCTCAGCAGCGAAGGGGACGGCGGGGGCGGGAGGGGGGCCTCCGGTAGGCTTAGCCAGAGAGGAAGATGGGGGGCCTCTCCAGCTGGGACAGAAGGGAGTATCAGTGGGAGCGGTGACCACCTGATCATGAGACAGTCCCAAATTGGTTGGGTGACCCCTGCACAATAGTGCAGGGCTCCTAAGCCTGACCCCCGCTCGCTCCCACAGTATCTGGGCTCCATGCTGATCAAAGATCTGCGGGGGACAGAATCCACACAAGACGCCTGTGCCAAGATGCGGGTATGCTGGCCGAATGGGGTGGGTAGAGCATGCTTTGGGGGGCTGGCTGGCACAGAAAGCAGCAGATGGAAGCCCCAGCTGCAGCTGGGCCCTGCCACACCACATCCGAATGGGAGGGAGGCCGGGGCTATGGAATCCCAGGAGGCCTCGCCCTGAGAAGGGGCATTCACAGGGCCACCCCTTGTTTCCTGTAGAAGTCGACTGAGCACATGAAGAAGATCCCCACCATCATCCTGTCCATCACATACAAAGGTGTCAAGTTCATCGATGCCTCCAACAAGGTGTGTTTCTCATAAGGACTGTTGACCGGAGAGGGACCCACCTCCCGTCAGAGCCACAGGGCTCCAGGGCGAGCAACCCGGATACCCTTTCTCATTCCTTATCTCCCTAGAGGGTCCCTGGCCCCCTTTTATTACTTCCTGTTTCCACCGCCTCACCCAGGTGCTCCTCTCATCTGTCTGTGTAACCTCATTGCTGGGTGCTGGGTGCTTGCCACTGGCCCCGGCCCCTGCCGAGACAACAGCTGTTACCTTCCTCAGTGGGGGCTCCACTGGCCACCTTGGCTGTTCACAGGCCTTCGTGGTGTGAGTCCCTCAGTGAGCAAAGGACCCCCCTTGCACCGCTGCCTGGGATCCCACCTTCCTGAGACCCTGCCCCCTGCCCACCCCTGGGAGGATGGCGGGAGGGGCTGGAGAGAGCGCGTGGTTGCAAGTGGACATTTCACTGCCTTCGTTGCCATGGTCAAGGGTGGAGACCCCAAAGCTAAATCAGGCAAGGTTAGACGCTGTCCCCACCTCCCCCGAAAGGAAGTGCGGGGTTTGGCTAACGCTGTAGGGGAGACAAAGAAAGGCGGTGATGGTAAAAGGGTGGGTGGTGCCAGAGGCATGCCCGCGCGAGCCGGGGATCCCAGAGCGCTGCTTTCCCCAGCAGAACGTCATCGCTGAGCACGAGATCCGGAACATTTCCTGTGCGGCCCAGGACCCGGAGGACCTCTGTACCTTTGCCTACATCACCAAGGACCTGCAGACCAGCCACCACTATTGCCACGTGTTCAGCACAGTGGATGTGGTGGGTGGGGGCCCAGGGCAGTGGGCGCAGATGCAGTGCGTCCGGCCCCTGGCTGGCGCTTGGCAATCGTGTGGCTTGTGAACGAAGCTGCGCAGCTCCCGGGCCAGCCCCTCACACAGCGATGAGACTGAAGCGGGTGCAGGTGGCGGGTCGGTCAGGGTGCTAGTGACAGGGGGTTCTAGCTTTTATTTATGTATTTATATTTAGAGGTGAGGTCTCGCCATGTCGCCCAGGCTGACCTCGAACTCCTGGGCTCAGGCGCCACCACGCCCGGCTTTCCAGCTTTCAGCTGAGTGCTCCGTAGGTCAGGCAAGGCCTTCGTCTCCCACGGCTTTCTGTTGGTCAACCCGCTGCGCCGGTTCCCCAGACCCTCCCGGAGAGTTTCCCTGAAATGCCCTCTATGTCCCTCTTAGGGGCAGCAGCACCTCCTCGGCAGGAGGTTTTCTGCCCTCAGCTTCCTGCTGAAGCTGGACCCTGGGTGAGCCGGGCTGAGGAGAGCTCGCGCTCACTCAGCTGCCCACGGCGGGTGGGCGAGAGACGAAAGCCCACGGCAGGGATTCCCTCTGCCCTGAGCTAAGGCCCAGCGGTGGCCCTAGGCCATCTCCTCACCCCACAGGGAAGCCAGGGTGTCTAGGTCCCTGCTGCCCTCAGGGAAAACAGCTGTTTCCAGAATCTCTGTGGCTCTTGGAACATAGCTCTGGACATTCCCTGCGCCCCCAGCCCCTACTTGCTCGGGCCAGCGGGGCTCAGCAGCCTGCGCTCTGGCGTCAGATCTTCCTGGCTCTGCCACTCGCTAGCTGTGTGATCTTGAACCGTCACTGCTGCCTGATTCCTCATCTGTACAAGGGGGAATGCGGTATGACCACCCTAGTGGGGCTGTTCTGAAGATTAAATGAGGTGACCCGCAGCTCTCAGAGTTCATGGCGTCCACGTGCTCCACACGGTCAGTCCCGCTGTGACACACGTATGCGCCTGACAGTCACCTGCTAGGTAAAACCACAGGTTTATGGAGAAGTGGGCTGAGGGACACAACACTACAAACTTTGTCAGTGATACAGTAAAAATAAAAGATAGGAACTTAATAGAAGCAGCAGCATCATTTTATTCATCAGTGGTTAAGAAATCCCTAAACACTCCAGCCAGCGTGGCGCGCCGTCTCGAAAAGTCTCGAAAAGCCCCGCACTCGGCGCGCAGACGCGCGCGCCTGCCCTCCCGCGGCCCGCCCCGCACCGGCCTGTGTGTGAGGAGAGGAGAGCAAGGCCCTACAAAGGGAGAGAGGACAGAGGACAGGAGGAGTGACAGCACGTGGACTGACAGGAGGGACAGACGCGCGGCCGGGTGGCGTGGGCGGGTGCGGCCCTGTGCTGCCGGGAGCTGGGCGCCAGGTGTGGGGAGGGTGCCCTGGCAGGGGCTCGGTTCAGCCGGGAGCAGTTCCGCGTCCACCTAGTGTTTCTGTCGGACGAAATCGCGAGTAAGGGGACCGAGTGTGTTACGCTCGAATCGCTCCTCGCTGTACCGATTGCGTTGGAACAGATTTGTGTTTTCAAAACAAGTGTTCTCTTGTTTCCTGTCCGGATGTCGTCTGTGCCAGTGCTCGGTGCGGCGTGAGGACAGGAGAGAAGGGATGAAGCTGTTCCTACACCTGACGTGCTTACGTGCTGGTCTGTTCCTCCCAGAATCTGACGTACGAGATCATCCTGACGCTGGGGCAGGCGTTCGAGGTGGCCTATCAGCTGGCCCTGCAGGCCCAGAAGTCCAGGCCGCTGGGGGCGTCGGCAGTTGAGACGATTGACACAAAAGCTTCCAAACCGGTGCCTAAGCCTCGGGTCGCCACGAGGAAACCCGCAGTACGTGGCCCCAGTCGCTGAGACTCCCCGCCCCCCGGGCCCTGGGATCGCATGGCTTGGGTGGAAGCCTCCAGGACGAGGGTCTCCCCCTTCCCGACAGCCGGCCCCTCCGGGGCAAAGCCTCCTGATCAGCTCCGTTGCTGCCCCGGCCTCCCCCGCGACCGGCGGCAGCTCCTCTGCCGGGCAGGCGGTCGGCTGCCTCCAGAGCTCCTGTCCCCTCCCTTGTCGCGGGGCCGCAGAGAGCGCGCAGGCGGCCCCCAGTGACCGTGTCGTCCTGCGTCTGTGTCTGCTTCGCTTCGCACCGCAGGTGCCGCTGCCCCCTGACAGTCGCTGTTGTCACTGTCACACCTGCACCACCCACCGTCCTTCCTACCTACCGCTGCCGTCCGTTAGTCCTGGAGTCAAGGTCTTTACGCCTCCTGCTGTCTTGTGTGTCAGTCTCCCTGAAGTGACCGTGAGCGTTCTTAGACTCTGGTGGCCTCTCCCCCTGCCTGCGTGACGTTCCCTTCTCCTCTCCTGAGATGCCCTCTGCCCTTCCCTGCGTGTGCTTTAGCCCTCTCTGTTTTTCCGTCGTGTGTCCTTTGTCCAGCGGTGTGGGGTGACTGTTGGGGTCTCGCCTCGGGGTGAGCTCTCTGGCCCCACCAGAGGGACCCGAGGCTTGGAGTTTCTAAGCCTCAAACCCCCTTCCTGCCCACTGTGAACAATTTGGGGCTTAGAGCAGGAGGCTCAGGTAGGGCGAGTTTCCTTTAACTGAGCAGTCCCACGAAATCCCTGGGTGGCCTCCCCAAGAAGCTCCAGGGAGGGTGACACTCCCCACCCCTCAGGGGCCTGCTCTTTGGCTGAGGAGGAACAAGCACATGGGCTCGCCGCTGCCCGGGGGTGGAGGGGCATGCCGGGTCCTGCTTGCCTCCTGGCCCTGGTGCACAGCCCCCCCCCCGACTCTCACTGTTTCCCTGTTTGGCAGCTGGAACCGCCCGATACGGACCAAGATGCCCAATCCCACGCCAGTGTCTCCTGGGTTGTGGACCCAAAGGCAGACTCTAAGCGGAGCCTCAGCACCAAGTATGAGACCACTATCTTCTAAAACAACCCACTCCCTGTCTCCACTAGTCTCACTGTGCCTTTGCCACCCGGTCTCTCTGCTGTCCTCAACTCTCTCCTTCCAGCTGCTGGCGCCAGGGCCCCACCTCCGCTGGGCCCGCTCTGCTCCTGCAGCGGCTCTAGACGCCGCGCTCGTAGCTCTCGTACCTAACTCCACTGAACACTGTGAATGCTCCCCCGTGGGCTGAGGACAGCGTGGGGGGTGAGTTGCCTTTAGGGTGGGCACCAAGAGGGCTAGGGGCTCAGTGGCACCCAGGAAGCCCCTGCGGCAGGCACTGTGAATCCCGGGGGTAGGGAAGTCTTCGGGCAGAGTCCAAACGGCACCACTGATAACTCCCTCTGAGTGGGCCGGGCTCTGCAGCCCCTCAGCCACGGCTGGGTGCCGCTGCCGAGAGCTGACTGTCTGTTCCACCTTCCTGACGCCACCAACCACTGTGACCACCCAGTGCCAGAACCCCCAGCGCTGTGCTCACAGCTGGCCTGCAAGCCCCGCCCCGCCCTCCTCTGCTGCTCCACGGTGCTGGCCTCACTCTCGTGGTCAGGCCTTGTGAGACCCCGAGCTCAGTGACGTGGCTGGACCAGGGACAGACTGCTTTCTGTGAGGGCCCAAGGTCCGCGCCAGGCCCTTGGGCACATGCCGACGCCAAAGTGTGGGGCTCTTGAGCATCTGGACACCCACGGGCTGGCTCCACTCGGCAGCTCTGTCAGTCCCGATGGGCCTGCCTTCATTCCGAGGAATGGGGTGGCGTACATGTGGCTGGTCCCTCGTGTCTCCGCCGTTGGAAGCCCCGGGCCTGGCTCTGGAGTCTGGCTCGCCGAGGAAGGCCTGTGCCCTATGTGCACGACGCACCTTCTTCCCTCAGAACAGAGCTGCCTGAGGACAGGGACCTGCACCCAGCAACCTCCACTGTTCTCCAGGAGCCGGTCCTTCTCCGGGGGAGAGGCCGGCCAGGTCCCGGCCGCAGCTTAGCAGCTGGGAGGGTGGAGTGGAGGCTTCTCCCGCGATCAGCTCAGACGCAGGAGACGGGGAGGAAGCGCTTCCAGGAGGAAGCAGAGCACGTGTAGCGTAGTCCAGTGGGAGAGGCGGAAGTCACGGCGGTTATTCTGGAGCTGAAACCCACGTGGATGAGCCAGGGCGGGGCCTGCCTGCCTGTCCTTGTGCCTTGCTGCGCGGACTCGCTGGGCCAGAGGCGCAGTGGGCGGTGGGCTGCGGGTGCTCAGAGCAGGTTGTGGGTACTCAAGGGAGGCTGTGAGCACCTTCCGCCCTGCTCTGCGCTTCCTTTCAGTTTCCTGCGCTTTATGCAGGCCCTTCGGTTAACCCTTTCCTCCCCGTTGTTTGCTTCTGCCAAGCTGAGCCACTGAGGAACCACTGTGCTGCGGAAACATAGCCGTGGGGAGCACAGCTCCTCCCAACGCCGCGTCTCACCTGCAGCCGAAGACCCAAGGCCCCACCTCTGCCCGTAGGACCTCCTTTCAGCTGCGCGGCCTGGGCCTGCCTCCGCCAGGTCTTGCGGAGTGAGCCTGCCCTGGCTGCAGAGAAGCACGCCAGGCCTCTGGCAGAGGAGACTGGAACTCCGAAGGGTCGAGAAGTGACTTATTCGAACATGTTTTTTTTTTTTAATAGAAAAAAATCTTTTTACAAAATGAACTTTTAACACTTGGCTCAAACCTCTAGGTGAAACTGCCAGTCTTTAGACAAGTGGCCATAGGGTCAGAGGCCAGGGGAACTGAGATTGGTTAAAAGGCCAGTCTGTGCAGCCCCGTCCTCAGGATGGGACCTTGGCGTGGCACAGGAGGACTGAAGAGAAGGCAGTGGCCTGTGGGTAAGTTGAAAGGAGCAGGCTCAGGGGCCAAATGCAGGCGGTTGCTGAGAGTCTGCTCTCCAAGTTCAGCCAGGCTAGTTGCCGTTCTTCGTGAACTGCCCAACTTCCTGTCCCTGTGCAGAGCTGGACAGGCTCCTCAGTTGAGAACACAGCCGTGGGGGCACCTGGGCAAAAGCAAAGGCTTCCAGTCCGTTCCCGGGGTTCCAGATGTGAAGGTCCAGTGGCCAGATGGAGCTGAGGGGCAGTTTCTGGTGCCGGGAGGTCCGGGCCTCTCCTCGGTCTCTCACCTGCTGGCGGCCAGAGCGCTGCCCTGGGCTGGCTGGCCGCAGGCTCTCTGGTGACACACTGCCTGAGCTGCGCCGGAGAGAAAAAGCAGCTTTGTTTTGGGCATTAATGGGTAGTCAGCTAAGACTGCTGCTTGCCAGTCTGTGATTTGTCTAATCAGGTCTGCGTGATTAGGGCTGGTTTTGATTCTCTGAATTACTGGTTTGATTGTTCTATTCTCAGCTGCTAGGCTCATCCCTGGGCAGGTGTGGAAAAGGTAACTTGATTCTACCCCAGTAGGGCCTTCGGGGAGGCTAGCGCCCTGGTGCACCACTGCTTGGAGCTTCCCGCTGGCTTGCTTTGCTTTTAAGAGTAACGGGTTGTGTTCTTCCTCCTGGACCATAGTAGAAAGGAAGGAGCTAATTGCTGCGGTGCTGAGAGGCAAAGCCAGGTCAGCTGCGAGTCTAGTACCTCCCGGGGTAGGGGGCAGAGAGGAGCGCCTCCTCCCACGGGCACCGTAGCGGGCCGCCTGCTTCACTGGCACGGCTCATTCCGGTCTCAGGGTGGGTATTCCAGGCCTCGGCAACACTGCTCTTTCCCAGCAAAGGTTACGAATTCAAATTCTTTGTTGGTGTGTGTCCAGAGAGAGTATCTTGGGCACATTCACAACCCCCACGGTCGGCCACAAAGCAAAAGCTGGGCTGTTTCCTGCAGCTGACTTGGGCTGGGCCCGTGGGTTTCCTGTCTGCGGAGCGCCCAGCACAGCAGGGCCTGGGAGGCAGCGCCCTGCAGTAGGGACAGGCTGCCCTCCGCTTCTTGGTACTAAACTAGGACCTCGACCCCGTCAGGTTTTATTTCATTTCCTGCTTCTTTCAGGGCCCGTGAGGATTCCCCTGAGCTAACACTGTACAGTATTCGGCCCCTGCTTTCTGACCAGGAAGCCCAGAGAGCTAGAGTAGCTGTGCTGCTGCTGCGGCCGCCCCGGTGCTGGTGCCCTTCTTCCTCCTGAGGAGGCCAAGCCACACCGAGCCGGCCTCTGTTGGTGGACGGTGGGTCCAAAAACAAAGCTGTACAGACACTACGATGAGTCGCTCAAGCTGTCTCTTGTTTTTAGATCAGCATAGGTGTTTCTTGCCCTTGAAGCTGCTATATCTTCTTTATTTATTCAGGGTGTTTTCATTTTGGCAAGCCTTGGCTAGTCCGCTCTGGCTCTGGGTTTTGTTTTAAGATTGGTTTATTTCTGAATATTCAAGAAAGGAAAGTGACTGGATCTTTCTTTTCTACTCCTCCTCTGGGGCACGTGACCTTCCCTGGAAAGGTTATTGTAACTTTAAGGAGAGGCTTCCAGTGGAAAAGCCCCTACTTTCACGCGTCTCTAAGTGCAGGTCATGCCATGGGGCAAACCCTGTCGCTGCGTCTCTGAACCATGAAAGAGCCCGTTCAGGTGGGAGACTTACAGTGGGTTTGTGCCCACCCTGGCCGCAGGCTCCTTGCCGCCTCTCCTCTTCTGCTTGCCAGCTGCTCTGTGCAGCAGGACCGTCCCCTTGTGATACTCCGCATCCCTCTGGGGCCACCAGCCTTACCTGCCAGGGGCAGTTCCTTGAGAAGCCCTGGGTTTGAGCAGGCAGCAAGCATAGCTGCAGTTGTCATCAGACATTAGAAAACCAGTCTGAACTTGGTCTGTTTGAGATGCCCAGGCCTGTAGAACGCAGTTCACAAAAGTATTGTTGCTAACGGTGTGGCAATGGGACTGGATTGTAATGAAAATGTTATTTAATCTTTGTCTCTGTATTTTGATACTTGAATGAGTTCCCCTTTTGTTTTACTGTACATATAATTGTTAATCTGTCTGATTTTGTCTGAATTATAAACATCTTAAGGTACCAAACATAACCAATCTGTGCAACAACATAGACTGACCTCACTACACAAGAGAGTGTAAATATTCCTGGGCTTCCAGCTTTGGTTTTGTTATTTTCATAACTGTACAACTTAGAACAGACTGAATTAATAAATGAGAAGCAACATAAAACCAGCCTTATTTTTCGGAGTCTCTGAATTGGAAAGTGCTGACTGTTTTCTGGCAGAAGCGTTGGCACGGGCTGGTTCTGGGTTGGTCATGAGTGTCCTCTGTGCGGGTGAGATGACAGTTTGGGAATTCTGCTCGTTCTTGGCCCTGCAACAGTTACAGTTAACCCTGTTAGGTGCAAGGGCCCGGCTATGCAGCTTCCTCTCCCTGGGGACATCTTGTTGTGAATATTAAGCAAGAGCCACATTCGAGTTACTGCTACGTGTGCATCTCCTCTGCATCCTGGTCTGGATGTGTCCGTCCACAGACATTGATTGGACATCTGTGTACCAGGCAGCATGGGGGAGTCTAAAGCTGGGAGAGAAAATTATCTCCTTTCAGGAACTTAGTTTGATTATGGAGGTTAAGTTCTGGACGGAACAACTAGCTACCAGCCTGAAGCCGCATGAAGCCACACCGTGGTAGGGATGAAGAGGGCAGGGTGTTCCCACAGGACCGGGTGGCAGGGAAAGGAGGGAGGGTGGTACTGAGCTGGGATTTAAAGGAGAGAATTGGGAAAGGCACAAATGGTAACAGTAGCCCCTTCATCGATGGAGCACCTGTGTTCCAAACTCTGCTAGAAGCTTCACGAGCAACGTCTCATTAGCCCCCACACCTCTCTGGGCAGGTGTTATCATCTCTCCATAGAGAAGAGCCCAGGGCCAGCGGGAGGGACCGTGGGGCCCATCTGGTCCAGTGGCTACAGCAGCCAGAGCCCTGCTCCTAGGGCTGCTTCAACCCCACCTGCCCGGCAGTGAACATCCCTATTCATGAGTTTCTGTGAAATCTTCCACTTTCTAAAAGGGCTTTAAAAAAGAAAATCACTGA